CTTTTGGGATGAGCACTGGGTGTTGTATGGAAACCAATTTGACAATAAACTTCATATATTGAAAAAAAAATAAATTAAATAAATAAATAAATAAATAAATAAATAAATAAATATTTCTATCCCCAAAAATAGAGGGTGGCAAGCTATAGCCAACGGATCAAATCCAGCTTGCCCCGTTTTTCCAAATAAAGTTTTATTGGGACACACACACACACACAAATAAAGTTTTTTTATTTTTGACAGAGAGCAGGGTAGGGGCAGAGAGAGGGGGATAGAGAATCTCAAGCTGGCTCCACGTTCAGTGTAGAGCCCAACGTGGAGTTTGATTCCCCTACCATGAGATCATGACCTGAGCCAATATCAAGAGTCAAACACTCCACTGACTGAGTCACCCAGGTGCCCCTCTTGTCTTCAGTTTGAAACAAACAAAACAAAGCTTAACCCTGGTTTGTAGATGGCTCTGCGCATTAGTTCTAACCAGAAATGTAGGGCTATGGCATTAAAGCACTCTCAGATGTGGCCCTAAAAGATACTGGAAAAGTGAAGCCCTTCCTGTAGACAGAATCTTGAGCACGGAATTTTGTCCCCTTTTCCAAAGCATTTGGTCAGATAGTCAAAGTCTTAGATGAAGCAGGATTTGAGGACTGGTTTCAAGAAGGTGTTGGAAGGTTAAACAGATGGATCTCTCAGAATTAGCCCCAAACTTGAACCTATACATGTCCCTGTTTCCACTCACCAGAATCTCCCTTCCACTGAAGAAAAGGCTCTTAAAAACCAAGCAGACAGAATGAACCCCTCTGGGATAGCATGCAGCAGCCTTCCTCAGCCCACCCAGTGGTCACTCCATTGCCTCATAAATCAGGTAGAGTCACAAGGATAGAAAATGCACATGGTGGACACCTAGGTGGCTGAGTTGGTTAAGCATCCAACTCTCGATTTCGGCTCAGGTTATGATCTCACGTTTCATGGATTCAAGCCCCGTGTCAGGCTCTGCACAGAGAGCATGAAGCCTGCTTGGGATTCTCTCTCCCCCTTTCTCTCTCTCTGCCCCTCCATGCTCATTCTCTCTCTCTCTTTCTCTCTCTCAAAATAAATGAATAAACTTAAAAAAAAAAGGAAAATGCATATGGACTCAATGATAGGGGTCTCCTATCTCCAGACTAACCACCTTGCCACCCTACACACCCAACCCTGACTCCCAGAAATGGCAACACATGTCAGGACTTCAGTCTGCCACTGGGTGGAAGATGAACTGCACTGGATCCTTGCCCTGGGGATAGGACAGCAAGTTGTTATAAATGAAACAGGTACGTGTGCTGAATTTGAATTTTTAATTCCTTCCCTTCAAGCTTCTGCCAGTGCCATCACATAAGGACACTGTACCAAGTATCATTAGATATTTGGGCAACAATGATCAGATAATAGCTAATTTCTTCTATTTTGCAGGAAGAGCCTAAATTTGTTTGGGAATGTGCCCCTACCCTTTAAGGTTCAGGTGTGAACTCAACAATCTAACCTAGCCTTGGTGATCTTGTTCTCTGTGCTAGTGGCCTGGTACTGGGCAATGAGACATGGCACCTTTTTTGAAAAGTTTTTTCTGGGGCACCTGGGTGACTCAGTCAGTTAAGCATCCAACTTTGGCTCAGGTCATGATCTCACGGCTCGTGGGCTCAAGCCCCATGTCAGGCTCTGTGCTGCCAGCTTGGAGCCTGGAACCTGCTTTGGATTCTGTGTCTCCCTCTCTCTCTGTCCTTCCCCTGCTCGTGCTCGCGCTCTCTCTCTCTCTCTCTCTCTCTCAAAAATAAAAACACTTAAAAAATTTTTTAAAAAAAAAGAAAAGCTTTTTCTCTTCTGGATTTAAAACATCAGCTAGACAGGGGTGCCTGGGTGGCTCAGTTGGTTAAGCGGCCGACTTCAGCTCAGGTCATGATCTCGCGGTCCGTGAGTTCAAGCCCTGAGTCGGGCTCTGTGCTGACAGCTCAGAGCCTGGAGCCTGTTTCAGATTCTGTGTCCCCCTCTCTCTGACCCTCCCCCGTTCATGCTCTGTCTCTCTCTGTCTCAAAAATAAAATAAATGTTAAAAAAAATTAAAAAAAAAAAACTTCAGCTAGGCAGAAATCCCCTTTCTGCTAGATAATGTTGCCTCTGAGAGAGGCACTTGTAGTTTTCTAGCTGTAAGCCCGAGGACAAAGCCAACACACAGTGGAGCCGGCAGACAAAGTGCTCTCAGAGGAGCACATCCAGGGCACTGAGGTAGCGCTGAAGTCACCCACCTATACACTTCTTGTGTGAGACAAAGGACCTCCTATTGTTTCAGCCAACTAAGTCCTGATTTTCTGTTACTTGCAGTTGAAGGCATCCTAACAGATACACCTGTTAAATACACAAACATGGATGTAATCTGCATCCAAGAAAGGTAGTTACATCAATGAAAGAAGAAGGGCTGGTGCCATGGAACTCATTACTGCATTGTGAGTCCCACCATCCAGAAGCAGATGACCTCTTAGGGTAATAACCTGCTGGACATTCCACGCTGTTAGGACCACCAAGCCCACTCAAGAATAAAGATTTGGGTCACCCTGACAGGCAAAGAGCCTCAACCAGTGGACGTACTGGCTCAAGACAAGAGTAGAAAACTGGAGGATGAAGTCACCAATGCAAGCAAAGCCTGGAACCAGTTCCAAAACCACAGAGTAGAATTCTACCTGCACTACCAGGCTTTCTGCATCATGTGCTTCAAAATAAACTCACCCACTACTTTTTTGTTCCTTAATAAGTGTTTCCCCTACTCTTTATCCTTTCCTCCTTCTGTGGGATATCTTGATGACAGGTTAATTTGCCATGAATTGTGTAGATTGCAGAACATTGAGAAGTAATGGCAGGGCTGGCAGAATGGTCATTACGTGGAAATCCTGGACTCAGAAAGAATGCTTTCCTGATACTGGCCCTTGTGGTGTGACAAGACAAGGCTCTAAGTGGTCTCACTCAGGGAGAGGTGAATACATTTGCTGGTGTACATGATGAGATGGGTGAGGAACATTAGGAGGGCACGCATGGAGCTGAATACAGGGGACAAAGGGGTCTATACATGCGGGGCGGCCAGCAAACTGGTGGACTCTGGTAGCCATTTGTTTTTTTCTGCCCCACAATGCTTCTCTCCCACTGCTTCACTGGTGTAGATATGTGACCCACGGTGGGTCAATAATAATCTGTCTTTCTGGATTTGAATCTTGAATGAAGACAGTGGAGACAGAATGTGTATGTCATTGGAGCTAATGCACTGAAGGCATCTTTCCCAGAAGGATGGTCCAATGCTCTGGCTGTTGAGATCCTCAGCACCATCTCAGGTCCTGTTCTTCTTAAGACCTGGCTTCTGAGTGTTTCCTTTCATTCTATGAGCTACTCCAGTATCTTTCCAGTTATTACAATTTTTCATCAAGTCAGTCCAAGCCTCTCTCTCTCTCTCTCTCTCTCTCTCTCTCTCTCTCTAAGTAGACTTCTAAAAATTTTCATTTATTTTTATTTTATTTAAATCCAAGTTAGTTAATATATAGTTATATAGTTAATATATATAGTTATATATATATAGTTAGTATATATATTATATATACAGTTACTATATATATAATAGTTAATAACTATATATATAGTTAATATATACAGTTATATATGTAGTTAATATATAGTTATATAGTGTAAATAATGATTTCAGGAGAGGCTCCTGGTGGCTCAGTCAGTTAAGCATCTGACTTTAGCTCAGGTCATGATCTCGCTGTTTGTGAGTTCAAGCCCCACATCCGGCTCTGTGCCGACAGCTCAGAGCCTGGAGCCTGCTTCGGATTCTATGTCTCCCTCTCCCTCTGCCCCTTCCCTGCTCATGTTCTCTCTCTCTCTCCCTCTAAAATGAATAAACATTTAAAAAAGATTAATAAAATAAAATAAAAATAATGGTTTCAGGAGTAGAATTTAGTGATTCATCACTTATGTATAACACCCAGTGCTCATCCCAACAAGTGTCCTCCTTAATGCCCATCACCCATTTAGCCCATCCTCCTACCCTACCCTCCAGCAATGCTCAGTTTGTTCTTTGT